AAAAAAAAAAAATTGACTAAGCCGGAGGCCCGGCCCGGACCCGGTGGCTACTCGGGCCGGTCCTGGGCCTTCCTTCCCAAAAAAAAGCCCGGCCGGGCCCGGCCCGGAACCGGCCCGGGTCCATGACTCTGTATAACTACTCCCTTAGTCCCTTGTTTTACTAGTATTTTTCGGGGCTCGTTTATCAATTTAAATTAAGGGTTAGAAGCAAAATGGTTGGATTTAAAGTTTGAGCAATCAGTAAGCTAAGTGTAATTTAATTCTAAATTAACAGCAAAATATTTTACAATAAGCTGTGAAAGTATTGTTCTCAAAAAAATATTTTACTCTACACTTACACTACCCCGTTCCTTAAAACTTTGTCAAGTTTGACCGGCACGAAGAATAATAAAATAAAAAGTTGTGTGATTGGGATTTGTGCAGAAGATGGAGAAATAACAGGAATCCCAAAATAATTGATTAAAGTGGAAAGTGACAGTTTTTTGGGACATAGTTTTAAGGACGGAGGGAGTATAAATTATGTAAATGTTTTATGTTTTACATGTCATTTTTTGGTCCCGGAGCAAATCACTCACGATGGAGGAAGTGTCGGGGAATGCTTCCTTAATTTATTAAAAAGAAGGAAAATGGTAAAGCTATAAAAAATTACAAAAGATATAGGAAAAATCCTAACAATTAATTTTTTAGAAGGTATTCCAACCGAAGTTGAAATGATCCAATTATGTTTATTATGAAACTTTATCGCCTTTTGGAGGTTGGTAGACACTTGCCTCCAAGTGGGAAGACTTGAAGCGTTTGAGAGCTTGAGCGAGTCTATCAGGTGAGTTGAATCTCGCATCTACTGGGTAAAGAAAATAATCAAATTCATTTCGAGGTCTTCGAGATTGACTTCTAGCCAACTTCATAGCATAATTGTTGGTCTTCTTGATTGTCAATTGTCAACTTCATTTTGGAGGAGCTATTTTTTAAGTTTCTTCGTTATGGAGAATCAAGTCTCTACATTCTTTTTGGTTATTTAGATAGAAGAGTTCTCATTTGTTTGGAATATCAACTACTAATAGGGGTGGGCATAACGGTTTGGTTTAACCGAACCGTACCAAACCGAACTAAACCGAACCGAAACCGAACCGTATGCAATTTGGTTTTAGTTTGGTACTATTTCTTTCAAACCGTATTAAACCGAACCGAACCGAACCGAACCGAAACCGATAAAAACCGAACAAAACCGAACCGAACCGAACAACACACACACACACTTTGTATTTATCTTCACTCTTCATTTTAAGATATACATAAAAAATTTAGACATGAAAATGCATATTTAAGCATATACTCGTATTATTTTAACTTTTACACATTTCAAACATTCATTATGACAAAGTTAGCTAATACGACATATTTGTATTTATTATGGTTGGCGATATCAATAGCAAATTGTATTTATATTTCTATTTCTATTTCTATTTCTGTGTGAGTCTTTGGTTTAGTTTGTTTCAATTGGTTTAGCAGGTGAAGGCAGGTTGTTTAAGCTAGGTTCTAGTATTTCATTTAGTTGGAATTTCAATTGGCAGGTTGTTTAAGCAGGTGAAAGCAGGTTGTTCAATTGGTTTGGTGAAGGCTGGTTCTAGTATTTCATTTAGTTGGAATTTCAATGAAAACAAAACATTCAAAATTACTCTTTACTCAAAGTGGATTGTAACATATGAAACAAGACATAATCATTTTCAAGTTTATAAACCGAACACCAAACCGAACCGAACCGATTTTTTCCCAAACCGAACCGAAACCAAACCGAAATTCTTTTGGTTTGAGTTTGGTACTATTTTCCTCAAACCGAATAAACCAAAACCGAACCGAAACCGATAAAAACCGAACCGTAAACCGATTCGCCCACCCCTATCAACTAAGGTAAAGAAGGAAAAGAGGATAAACTCAATCGAGTATTGAAGAACTAAAAGGAATATTAATATATTATGATGCTCTCTATATTTAAAACTTCATTACAATAGTATTACTGTATTACACATATTACTTAATAATTTATTAAGGATGAAATAATGTAGAAAAAATAGGAGAGAAGGTGAAAAAATATTAAACAGAGATGAAAAATAGAAAAAATAAGAGTAATTGAGTATTTTTAAAGGAAAACTTATTAAAAAGACACATTGTTAATTTTTAACAGATGTATATAAATACATTAAAAAAAAGTGTAGCACACGTTAAAATTAAAATACAGATAAAGTAATATTTATTGAGTTTGATTCGAAGGATTGAGCTCAAGAGCCAAATGGATTGACAAATTTATGTTTGACTCATGAGTCATGAAAGGGCTATTTCAGTTTTCAAGTGAAAGGGCTATTTCAGTTTTCTAGTGAAAGCCAAAGCAACCTAGCCCCCCCCCCCCCCTTTTTTTTTATAAAAACCAGCATTTGGCGGGACTCCCTGCCTGGATTCACAATCACACAAAGAAACGGCTCTCTTTGCAAGTAAATGAGCACATCCCCTGTCCGCTGATCATGGCACAAACTGGACATCTACAAAATGGTTCTACAACCGACATAGTATCAACCGCTATAGAAAGTGGATGCATTTCATAATGGGTGTAGGAACCGTTACAAAATGTTTTTAATGTCGGTCGTTTTAGAACCGTTATTGAAAGTTCTTATTTTAAACTTCCACATGAAATTAAAATGTTTTTTTGTCAGGTTTGTAACGGGTGTCTCCCTTCGAGATTAAATTTGCGGGTGCGAAGAGTTGATTGTTCGGGACTCTGTGGATCGTGTGGAAATGCAGCTGAATCCCTGGAGCATCTATTTCAACATTGTGCAATTGCTTAGGACTTATGGAGAGAAATTCATTGGCAGTGGACAGCTGGGGAAGTAACTTCCTTCTTGGATCAAGTAAACAAGGAATTCTGGATGAAGAAGATTGAGGACTTGGAGATTTTAATCTGGGGTTGTTGGGCGCTGTGGACGGAGTGAAATCAAAGGCTCAGGGAAGGGAAATCTCTACCGGCGAGGCAGCAGGTCAACCGAGCTCGAGCCATGGTTGACGGATGGAAGCAGGCGCATGCGAGAGTTACTCGGGGAAGACGACCACAGGTCAGCCGGCAGAGCAGAGCTTTCTAGTGCAGACCAACCCTTGGTTCATGGAAATTAAATGTGGATGCGGCAACAAGGGCGAACAGGTGTGGACTAGGCTGTAAATAATTATTAATTAGAATAGTTTTATCTTTTATAGCTTTTATAGCCTTTATTATTTCGTAATGAATAAATCAACTAAGGGAATAGGGCCCAAAAAGGCCTTAGGCCCAAAGTTCTAGGTTACCATTTCGGTACCTGTACCTACGCCTATAAATATGTGTACATGTGATACAAGACCAAATGATCGAATAATCAATAATCAGCAATACAACTCCTTTTCATTCAAAGCTCTCGTTTCCAACTCCTCGATAGTATAGCGTAAGGATTTCTTCTCTTCAGATTGTTTCTCGATCATTATTAAGAATCCTTCTCTATATTATCGTAGATTTCTTTTAGCTGTTCTTTGATCTTGCTATTTGGGACCAACAACACTTTTCCACTTTATTCTCACTTTTTAAATAAGCTTGTCAAGTCAAACCGGGAAGTATTTTAGGGACGGAGGGAGTATTACTTTTAGAAAGTTGACAATAATAATCTCAAATTTACGAAATTTCAATACCCATTTAATACTTTCAACCGTTACTCCCACATTTCTCTTCCCCGAGATGAGAGTGGTGAATGAGAAAGTGGAGGTAGGGGTTAGGAGTATTAAATGAGCATTAGTTTGAATTCATTCCAATTTATTCTTAAGGACAGTATTGCTAGTACAGATTATTTTTATGGACACTTTCAGTATGAATTATTATTGTTGAATCCATAAAAGTATGAATTATTCTTGTGAATTTCGCCGAAAATATTTTACTCTCTATGTTTAATTGATATAGCAAATATCAACCTTGATTTAATTATTTAAATTATGTAAATGTTTTACATTTCACATATGGAGAATGATATCATCTCTAAAATAAAGAAGAAGGAAGAGAGGATAAACTCAATCAAATATAAAAAATTCAAAAGAGCATATGATAATTTGTATTGAGTTTGATCTGAAGGATGAGCTTGAGAGCCAAATGGATTGAAAGATTATGTTTAGTTCGAGAAAAGGTTGTTTCAGTTTTCAAGTGAAAGCAAAAGCTATCTATTTTCAGGGATTTATTTATAAGATAAAAAAATAGGATTTTAAATATTATTCAGAACTGCTAGGGGAATCTATTGAAAAAATTAACAAAAGCCGAACTTCATTTACTTAGTAGGAAACCGTGCAATTTCACCCGAACGAATACTCTGAGAAATTTGAATATACTTTATTCTAGGGCTGGGACCGGTTCGGTTCTCACTCAAAATGAGTGGAACCGTTATAAAAGTTTTAACTAATGAAATCGGTTCGGTTCCTATATAAAAAATCAAGAACCGTTATGGAACCGAACCGGTAGTAAACGGTTTGATTCTTCCTTTTACCGGTTCCTAGAATAATTTTTTCTCGTCTAAGAATTAACACATTATTTTAAACACGTCGAAAATTCAAAACACGAGTATTAAAATTTTATTTGAAACTCCAATCACTTCAAACATCAAAGCTCAAACTTAACTAATTAATGAACTTTGAACACTTAATAGAACAAAAGTGATTTAAATTTTCATGTAATAAATGAAACATTAAAAATCGTTGTAGTGTCGGAGCGATGAAGGTTACTTCAAGAATAGGAAGAATAGGATGTCTACTTCAAGTCTTTCAAAACATAAACAAAAGACATTGAGTTTGCATGTATAGATATAAAAAACATTATTACATTCTATTGATTCATAATAAATCTAATAATTAGAAATATCATGAAAATAGTAAAGTAAAATATGTGCAATCAACTACAAGTTATTTGAGTTATTTTATATTTATAAAATTTATGTGATGGAACAAAACTTGATTTGTAGAAAGGAGTTTAATGTATTATATCAGCCTCATGTACAATAAAAATTAAACTCTTCAATTTCGTCCTATCAAAAGTCCTCTTACACAAAAATAGGGGGAGATCCCGAACTCTGCATTTCTTCTCCATTTATATAATATCGAGAAGCACACAACTTATTGCAGGATAATGTATACTTCTATCCCATGACAAGGCTTATTTCTTTAATTATAGAATTTTTTAAAACAAGTAAGATTCAAAGAAAAAAGACAGCCAAATTCACGCACAAAAGAACATGGCAAATGATACAAACACGTACAACAAACATTCATCTAAGTAGCAGCTTCATGCCTTCATCGTTGTGTTGCAAGAAAACGCGAAAATCACGAGGAAACGGGAAATCTTTTGCTCAAAAAACGCTTGTTTTGAGAATTTCCAGATAATTTCCGTAGTTTCCAAAACTGAAACGTACTCTTTCTTGAAAGTTTCTGTGCTATATAGCTTCATCATCACCATCATCTTCTTCTTCAATACCAAAAGCTCCTCCCACTCCAAGCACCGTGTGCAGACTTCTAATGCTTGCAGCGAACCTATTAAAACGAGACAAGCCACTCAAGTGCTCATCACCGGACTTGGCCAAATTCTTTTTTTCTGGATAATACTTCAAGCTGAACTTTCCAGATTGATCACGAATTTCAACATCAAATGCAGGTGAGAGCGGTCTCCCAACAACTCGAACGTGGGCCACACTGCCACAAGGCAGAGGACATGAAGATATCATCTATGACACTATCAAATAGTAATGTTCTGTTTTGCTTCCACATAATCAGTTTATTATGCAGAGTCAACAGAATAAGTAGGTTTAATTTTGCTTATTTGGCTGAAATAGATGCTACTGGCTTTTTAAACCCTTGCCAAACATGATCTGTATCCCATGAAACGCAAAAGTACTTCATACTTACCATATATAAAATAAGTCATCCACGTCTTGTCTCTGCACTCTGCCCAGGAGTTGTAATTGCAAAATTCCTCCAATGCAAAGAACAGGTTCTGGCAGCTTGAACTTTTGCAGCTTCCTCTCCTATTAAAACAATTGTATTCTTATGGTTATCATAAAGATTTTGTTTTGACTAGAACGATAAGGGCCTGTTTTGGACCCTTGAAATACTAGGAAACATAAAAATAGGTAGGAAAATAGAGAAGAAAGCACAGAAAGAAAAGAAACTTTAGGGAAAATGAAGAATGCTCGAACTCGATAAACTTATGCTCAATTATCAGGAAAAAGTCATTTTTTTCTTAATAGAACCCAAGATAAAGCCAGACACTTAGCATGGTTATCCGTTCGCCAGAATTTCAAGTGGTCCAAGCACACCCTCAGGGAAACATTACAAATGTCTTTTATTAACTTTGAAATCCAAACAAAGGAAGCAACTTTAATTTGAAAACTACTGCATACAATCTTACTTGAGCCATTGGGAATTCCGGTGAGGTGTATGTCCACACAAACTTTTCACCAAGAGGTCCCTTAACGGCTCCGGTCTCATCTGTGATATTATTTCTCTCTGATTCCATAGGTACCTGGCAATGCCCCAATCTGAATCGCAACGCCTTCGCTGAATATATGGGGAAACCAAACTGAAAATAGGCTGTTTGGCACAAAATTCCAAGCTAGTTAGTTTTATGATGGGCGTGTTCCGCAAACAACTTTTTGGAGATCAAATTGCTTATTTGACACTATTAGAGGTTAGACATGCGGAAAAAGTTGTAAATTGCTATTTCGTAAATAATTCTTTTGAAGAGCTTGTCAGGCCCTTACCCCACCATAGGTGGGAGCCTTTGCGGCACTGGGATGTTGTTGTTGTTGTTGAAGAGCTTGTCAGGTTTAAAATATCTTTAATCTCTACTTGATTTTGTAAAATATCAACGATATGAAATATCGGACACAATAGTTAAAACAGTTTTTAGATAATGTAAAGTGAATTCAAAATATAAATGTTTGTTGACACTAAACTACACAATCAATTTACGACTTACTTTGTAAAAACAATTTGTTGCATAGAAATAAACTTTAACTTAATTATTTTAGCATTAATACAAATACAATATGCACCATGTGGTACGGTTAAACATGGTGCATACTATTGTAACATTAAGAAAACTTCTCGTGATCCACGAATACCCTCCTTCGTAGACAAAAATTGCAATTCAAAAACCGATCCTTTATTCTCATAAGATTCATGTGATTAAACAAAGCAGAAGTTACTTAAAAAGCATCGATTTATGTGTACCTTTTATACTCTGTACCTTCAAATAATTTGATAAAATGTTATATCCTTTCTTATTTTCAAATAATTTTCTAGAACACTTACAATTATTACATCAAAATTATTTTTCCATTGTCTAAAATTAGAATGTAATATAATAGATTTAAATGTCATCATGTATTTACTCATGGAATTGTTTGAACAAAAATTAGCCGCAGAGTCCTACAGTAGCGAAAAAATTCCGCCCTGCTACACTAGCGAAAAAATTCCGCCCCGCTACACTAGCGAAAATATTTTCGCCCTGCTACACTAGAGGAAAAACTTCCACCCCTACACTAATGAAAAATTATCGCCCCCCTTGACTCGAAATCTTGGATCCATCCTTGGGAACAATAATACCCCCTCTGTCCCAAATAGTGAAACACATTGGAGTTTGGCACGAGTTTAAGAAAGTAAAGAAGATATTTGCTATTTTGCAAATGTAAACTTCTAAAAAGGAGAAAAAATAGTAGTGCCCAAAAAGTAAAACTGTAAAATAATATGAAGTAGATAAAAGGATAAAGTAGGAAAGGAAAATGTTAGTGGAGTACATTATAGGAAAGTGTTCATATTTTTGGGACAAACAAAAGGAAAGTGTCTGATACAATGGGGGTGAGTAGGTTGCTTGAAATGCTACGTCAATAAACTCATCAAAACAACTTATTGTATTAGCTTATGAAGGCAAATAAAAATTCTTGTATGAAACGAAAATTCATTAGCTTACTTGGTAATGCAATCAGCTGGTCAAAATAGCAATCACATTATTCTACTGCTCAAAAAGCTTATACCAATAGCTATGAGCTATACAAGGCAAATAAAAAGGGATTTGGGACCAAACAAGTAAAAGAAGTCCGGAGTTAGAGTGGAACCTTGAAATGGCTGTACATGAATCTCAGTAACCAAACACAACCTTGAAGCTAGTTTATATGTGAGAGTCTCTGGAACAGTGGGATCACTTTCTCCTTTGCTTGACCAGTACGAAGCTCTATGACCCACCATATCACTTGGGAGTAAAGTATTCTGTATGCTTTCTTCTGGGTAATTATCAGTGCTTGATGCACAAAGCGCCTCTGTGATGCAATTTTTCATCATGAAGGAACTTAGACCTCTGCTGAGAAATGCATAAACTTGATGATTTCTCTCCAGACGTGACAACTTGGCATCCTTTTTACCAAGCTCAACTTCTGCGGTGTCACTCGCGTGTTTTTTTTCAATGACATCAGTTAGACCTGCTATTTCGGGAAACTCTCTCAAGCATAGGTCTTTACACAAACTGCTTTCGATCACTGCAAAAGCATTACTTGTTACCATCACTCAGTAAAGGCTGCAAGTCCTAAACAATCAACACACACACACACAAAGCCCCGTTTGATAAGGTACTTTCGGTTTATAAGTCTTATTGGCCAGCTTTTTATCAAACACTACCTATTGTCACTGCACACCGGCTAAATGCGCCGAAAAATGAAAAAACAAAATAGGTGCATGATCAACTTTTCCTCTATAATAGGTTTCAGCCTTTCATCCCGAAAATGATCTCCACCCTAACCTTTTTCCATCAATTTTTAATTCAGTATGTGAAGCAAAAAATTGGCTTTAGGTCATTTTTTGGCTAACAAGACTAAGCCAAAAAAACAACCAATCTTACGAAACTGGTATTAAGACTAACAGCAGCTACAAGACTGGGGAAAAGTTAGAGAATGTAGAAATCATCCTGAAGAGAATGACTGACAGTATATCTCTAAAACTATCACTTGAGGATATTTTTGTCAGCTGAACACTTGAGTGAGCTCACCTAATTGGTGCCAGGAGGTGGAGACGGCGCTAGCGCGAACAAGATCAGACGGGTCCTCCAAACAAGAAAGAATCTTTATGGACATATCTGGTCCAAGCCACTGTGTAAAATCTATACAATCCTCCATTTTCTTTAGAGATAATGAATCTCTCGCTCCCTCTTAAGCATAAATATTAAATCTTTACCAATCTTGGCTGCTGTTGAAGAGTTAGAACCAAAATACAGAAAGGCTATTAAGAAGAGCTTGCATAATAAGTATTAATGAAGCAGGAAAAGTGTAATAAAAGATTGTGGTAAATGGGAAAGAAAAGAATGTACCTCTCTACAAGCTGGAAAACTGAAACGAGAGATCTGAAGGAATCGAACAGAGCAATCGTCATATAGTGTATACCGGAAGTGAGTGAAAGTCTGGAAATTGAAAGTCCGTATGATACTTATGCTGTTTTTTTTCAATAACTTTTGTATGATCTAGATAAGAAATTTTTAAATTCAGGAAAAGGGTTTTGGTGGTTGAGAAATGCTAGACGTACACACTTTGTGTACACACTTTGTGTACACTCGTCTGTCTCTTAAGAAAATTTTGTCTGTCACAGACAATTCATATATGAGTTCACAAAATTTTCTTAAGAGACATACGAGTGTACACAAAGTGTATACACAAAGTGTGTACCTCAAGCATTTTTGTTTGGTGGTTTACTGCTTCAGTCAGTTTTAGGCGGTGATCCGAGACAGGAGAGGTCCAAAAGTCCATCAATTCCATCATTCGCTGTCTCCCTAGCCTTCTCAGGCGCGTGTACTTTCCTCAAGCTGTATCATCCATACTTTTTTTTTGGGAAAAGCTGTATCATCCATACTTTTTTTTTGTACTCCCTCCGTCTCAGAATTAACTTCGGTTTTGACTGGGCACGGAGATTAAGAAAGTGGGAAATGTGTGGTGGAGAGTTGTGCAGAGGAGAGAGAAATGTGTAAGAATGGTTGTGAACCACAAATCCTTTGCTAAAAAGGGAAAGAGGAGATAAATTTGGGACGGACCAAAAAGGAAAGAATGAAGATAATTATGGGACGGAGGGAGTATTAAAATTAGTTTTCGTAAAAATTATGTGATTAATTAATATCTATATTCTTTTGACCCCCATGTTATATACTCTCTGTTTTTAAAAGTTTTCCACATTTTTTAATTAAAGATGTATTTAAAAGTTTTCTACACATTTGATTTTTTAATTTTTTTTAAACTACCATCCTTATTTTTTTTACTTTTTATCTTCTTTTTCCTAATTTCGCTCCCCTACCTACTATATTACATTATTCATTACTCATATTATTTACCCCTTAAATATTATGCAAAGATCTAATGTAGTGACGTTTTAAATCTGGTGGAGTATCAATTTATGTTAGTCAATTTTGAAATCTTTTAAGACCAACGCTCGAATGTTGTTATTAGAGAGAAATGATTAAAAGTATATATTTAATTACTTTAAAAAACAGTGATAGTTTCTTGAAACAATTTAAAATGAATTTTGACCAAATCCAATAGAATATATGGAGTAAATAAAATGCACTTCAACTCAATGGTGGATCCAAAGTCTTCTCAAGGAGGGACATTGCCGCATGAATGAGAATGTGTCATGTTGAGTCAGGTGTGTCACTGGCTCTGTGCAAGTTATTATTTATAATCGGAACTAGATCTTCTAATACTGATTTTGAGCAGTGTACGTTATCTATGGATTATAAGTCTATTTTTGAATTCATTAAAAAAATTTCTAAACAGTAATAGTAATATGAGAACGCATGAATTTATTTTTCCTTTTTCAAAGTATAATGTTTGATAACTTCTTTTTTAATTATTTTGTAGCTATAGTTTCAAAATTGTAGATTTACAAAACCTTGAGCATAAGCATGTAAAAAATAAATAACAAATTATCTTCACATATTAATTCAGACATAACTTTTAAATGTTGCTCATCATTATAAACAAAATTACCAAAAGGTTGATCATGTGTAAAATTACAAACCTCAATATTTGTGTTTGTGTGTCCTTGCCCTTCGTCTTCGCCGCCTCCGTAGGCCGTAGGGTGCCTTGGATTCAAGTGCATATTCACAGTGTTGTAGCCCCCCGACACCCCATGCACAATACTTGTTAACAATATTTACAATGTCCATACCACCTATTGTCCGCCGGATCCTTAACCTTTTTAAAATGTACTTAAAAAGATGAAAACAAATTTTGGAAATGTTACTTTGTTCAAGTGATCAAATGAACTGGCGCTACTCCCTTGCACCTTCTCGTCGAGGACTCGAGGGTATTCCAGCCTTCTTTCTCCTCCCCCATCGGGAGCTTTCCTCGACGTTGTCATCCTCCAACTCTTCATCAAACTCGAGAATGACTTCTTGATTTAGAAAAAACTCTTGATGTTGTGACAAGAGTCGCACTATTTGTTCGTCAAACATGACTTTGGGACGAAAATGTTGGTCCAACGTTGCATCTCATATCAACAATTTTTCTAACGCCCGACATGTTAAAATGTACTCCGTAACAAATGTTAAAATGTACTACATCCGTCCGATAATGATTGTCATATTTTATTTTGACACAATTATTAATAAAGTGATTGAAAAAGTAAAAGTTGTTAAGATTTGATTAAAGTAAAATGATATGGACCACTTATTTCTTGTCAAAAAAGGAAAAAAGACATTCATTTTGGGATAACCCAAAAAGAAAAGTAAGACAACAAAAATGAGACTGAGGGGGTAACTAATACTCCGTATTAATTAAAATGTGACTTATATTTATATGATAAGTATCCAAAACGTGAGCTAGAATTTGGGATTTTCTCATATCATTCAAATCAATTAGTAAGATTATCACTATCCAAAATGCCTTCATAAATGTACAAAAAAGAAGGCATCTATTAATCTAAAAGCAAAAATACAGTTTCAACAACTACCAAAGTTACATATAAAAATCTAATAGCATGAAGATAAAAATGCAGATTAAGCACAATCCCCATGAGGTATGTAAAAACAAGAGCAAGCCGATTCACAATTTCTTCCATCCATGCTCAGGCATCGCGCACCTCCTCGTTACAAACCGGGCAAGTCTGCACCAAACAAAGGATGAACATATATTTTTTGGTGTCTAAAAAGCATGAAGCTAAATTGTAAGATTTGGGTTGTACTTGAAGTTCCTTTCCTTGATTAACAAGAATAATAGTGAAAAATATTGTCAGAAAACCAAACAATATACTTCATATAAGAGTTCGAACTGCCCTCAAGACCTAGACCATTGATCTTGCTTAACTTTGGAGTTTTTATTGTAATTATATTAGAAATATTTCGCGGTCTTAAATGGGAAAAAAACACTCCAACCTATACTTATGATGTGCTGGAAACAACATAAAACAGCTGATTACAGGCAAGTTGTGGAAGAGGGATCCAATTTGAAAGCTTAGCTTTTCTTTTTCCATGAATGACAAAACTATTAATCTTTAATTAAAAAAAGAAGAGGACTTGAGCAATCATTTAGAGAGAGGGATCCAATTTGAAAGCTTAGCTTTTCTTTTTCCATGAATGACAAAACTATTAATCTTTAATTGAAAAAGAAGAGGACTTGAGAAATCATTTAGAGAGTTTGTCACCTTCTTTTCTTTCAGCCAGCGCTTAATACACTTAAAATGGAAGGTGTGTGCACAGAGTAAACTTGCCAACTTTTCTCTATTTGCATACTCCGAGCAACATATTACACACCTGTGATGGATACATACAATGATAGTTATGATATGACTAATTAAAAATATATAAGTAATTATATTAGTGCGTTCTTTTCATTAGAATAATTAAATCTTGATTAAATAGTCAGTAGAAGAAAATGGTATGGGGAAAATTTGCACATACTCATCATCGCTTTTCTTTTTCCAAAAGAAATACCCATTATTGTATTTAAAAGTCGGCAAACGAGATATAATATCATCCGAGAGCCCTCTGCTCTCATGCCCAATAGCATCTCCCAATGACTGCAATTCCTGACAATAACAAAGAATAATATACCAACCATAATAGGGGTCATTTTTGTGAGTATATGTGAATACATTTGGTGCTCGTCCTGGAGATTCCCAATCACATCCCCATTGTGAACAGATAAAGACAGCCATTTTGCTCAAGTAAAATGAAAACACGGAGCTCAATCTGGAAGTGTGAGTGATGAGTAGTACTAGTAGGAGTAGTAGCCACTCTTCAAGATTCATGATAACTACTCCCACTGTCCCATAAAATTCTTTCCAATTTGACTTTGATCAGGGTTTAAGAAAATAGAAACAAAGTGGAAATGTATGGTTATGGTTGAGTAAGAAAAAAAAATGAATGTAAACCACACAAAACTTTCCAAAAACGGAAGTGGGAAGATTTTTTTGGGACATCCCAAAATGGTAAGTAAGAAGAATTTTAAGGGACGAAGGGAGTAGTAAGATTTTGGGTTTCATTCTAAATTGAGTTATTACACCTTTTGGTTGAATGACAGCATAAACGAAAGAGCAAAGGATGGAGTAAAACCGGAATGCTTTCGCATAGCGTTTAAGTTCAACATTAATACGCAGTATTTTTAATTTTTGAAAATTGAGACAAAGAAAGAGCGATAGAAGGCACAATAATGTTAATTACTGAACTAACCTCGTAGCTCATGCTATCTAGATTAATGCCATCTGTTGTGTTTGGAATTTCAACCTGTAAAACATGCATGGTACAAATTACCCTGACATAAGACTCTTTGGGAATGTTTGGATCCCAAAATATGCTAGGAAAAGTAATCTTTGGATGGGGGGTGAGAAAAGTAATTTCTAAAATATTTGGCATTGCCTTGGAAAATGAAAAGGAATATTAACTAAAATGGGTTGTTTTAATTTATTTTTCTCTTTACAAATATTTAGATTTCTGAGTTCTTATGGAGTCAAAATACACATATAAATGAGTATAAACCTTTGAATAAACATCTAAAATAAATTAATTGACTTTGAGCTCATCTTTAAATTTTCCAACAAACTTTATTTCATTGCAATTTCCATTTCTAGTTATCTCCATATTTCTTTTCCTTGCATTTCCTGAGTTCCAAGCGAACCATTGTCTTAAGAGTTTTGAAAATTGAGAAAAAAAAAACAATAGAATGTAGAAGAGAATGCTGACTACTAAACTAACCTCGTGGCTCATGTTATCCTGGTTGATGTTATGCCCTGAAGTATCCAAAATTCCAACCTGAAAAGAACCATGGAAGAGCTCTAAACCACATGCATGTGAATTTGTGAAGAATAAATACCAATGGACATTGCAAAAAGGAATTGCACAATACCCTAACAGGAGGCTCTCTTGGGGGGGATACACAAGCTCCTGTGAAACAAAGATATGCATAGTCACTTGACTCACTTTTATAAACACACAAGTCATCTGAAAACCCCCAAAAAACAGACACCATATTATTTTGCTCCTCCAATAACACTAAGGGTCTGTTGGTCTCATGCTAAATGACTTGTTGAGGAAATTCTTCTCCACATAAAATTTCTTCCAGGAAAAATAAGTTGTTCGATGTGTAATACTCTGTATAATGTTTGACCCACACATGCAAATATAAACCTTTATCAGGATGGATAATAACTTTGCTGGAGGAATTATTTTCTGTGGAAAATGTTTCCTGGAAACTAAGTTTTCCGTGTATAAGAT